CGAGTCGCAATCCCCGGCAGCCGCAGACTTGAACGCACTTCACCAGTGATTGTGGATGTTAGCTCTCTAAAAATCCGAACATTTTTTCTTTGGCCCTGGATCTAGAATTCCCGCTGTTTCAACTTTCCTCGGTTTTCCCTTCACTGTGGGCTCCTCAGCTACTGAGCTCGAAGCTTGAAGCGTTGCTACCATCGATTTTCGATCGTCAACCTTACAAGTCCAACAAAGTTTTTCTCTCACAAATACTGGTATTTGCGGGTCTGAATATTCGAAAACAACCTTCCGGAAGGTCTGCCGCATATTCATATTCACAATCAATGGCACAGCTGTCACTTATAACAAAGACCTGTCCTAAGCGGAGTGGCAGACAATATGTCTGGCCCTAGGGCCTACATAGGACAATGGAAAATAAAGCGCCTCATGGACGCTTGCTTGGACCACAGACGCTCATTTATAAAGCAGTACCTCACGCACTTTCATCCCAAAATACAACATGTTTCGTACGTCGTTTCCCAAGAAACCGAAACACGCTTCACCACCACCTCTACCTTTGCTACCAATTATCATCACGGCTACTTCCGATTTGCCAAATACTCGAGACGCTCACATGAAGATTCAGCATCCATCAAGGCATCGGCAGATTCTCGTGGTGAAAGATTGTGGCACTTTCAAGCAAACTCTACCGGGAAACGCTGAAAGACGCGCAGAGATGGAGTGTGCTGGTTTCTCTCTGAACTCGTTCACGCCAGAAAACGTGCGTCTTTGCACCTCCACTTCATGGGTCGTCGCTAAAATGGTTGATTCCAAGGAACCATATCTCACTCTTCCAGCACTGACATTTTCATTCCCTCGACTACCAGAAGCAACTGGTTTATGGAAGTACATCAGCTACCCCTTCATTACCAAAGAGACCCAACCAACTTCATCCACCGAAACGATCACAATAGACATCAGTCTACCTGCCTGTAAATTCAAGCGTTGCGCAACAGTTGAGTTCGACAGATGCGGCGTTCGAATATTGTTCGACGAGCACAGTCGATGCGTGGTCTTTCATCGCGACCTTCCGGTACAACCAATAGCTGAAACGCATCGTGGTGTCTTAGATATAATTGCGATAATATGGGAGAGTCATGGCGAAGTAAGTGAATTTGCTGTTCTATCGGATAACTACATTGTATTCACCGAGTATATCCAGGGGACTCTGTCAATTGTTCCGTGTTATTTCTATCAAACATGAGCTACAGATTGAGATCATTTGGTCAGCGGTGTATATGTAAACTGTTACTTGTAATATATCTATGTATAATATTTTGGGAAATTTGTCTGCTGAGGACTGCTCATTTTGGCGGAGATTCCAGGAATCGACTCGGAGCGCTGCATCGAAAAGGTGCCACTTAGGCGGACCGTCGCCGAATCCAAGAGACTTGGAGATGTGATAGAAGATTTTTTAGTCTCGTCTTGGCCATTGTGCCTCGTTCCGGAATCCATATCACCTGGTACATACATATTGCATGCCACCAATCCTGGCTTGTGAATTCTTCGTTGTGCCACAACCTCGGGCATCGTTCGGTGATTACATATCACCCGGGTCTCAACCAAATGACATAAGGTTCCAGTTCTCGGTTCGACTTGCTCTCGTCCACCATGATCCTCACAGATAGCTTGCTCGTTGTTGGTGCAAGTGGTCTCGTATGTAGTCTTACTATATTTTTTATTCTTTCTCACACTAATTTGACAGGTTGCCTACCTGGTATTCAAACGCACCGAAACGATCAAGAGCACACATTTGCTCATTCTTCTACTTGCCATACCCTCTGTACTCTCAGGATTTGTAACGATCTCGACGGGACACATATCAAACATTCTTCTCGTGTTTGCTGGATATCTCTGCACAATCCTCACGTGTACAGCGATCTACCGAATCTCGCCTTGGCATCCTCTAGCCGCGTATCCTGGACCTTTACTTTGCAAGTTGACCAAGTTTAGGGGAGCATTCGAAGCACCATCTGGGAAGCAGCATGAGTGGTACAAAAGGTTGCATGAGCTGTATGGGGATGTTGTTAGGATAGGTGTGTGGTTTTCTAGTTGTGTCAAGGTTCTGTTAATGCGGTTGGACATCCAGGGCCGAATGAACTTTCCTTCTCCTTTCCGGATGCGATATCGCCAATCATGGGTCAGAACGGGCTACCAAAGGGTCAATGTGAGTCATACATCACTCTTCGTTGTCTTGCCCGCTGTGCTAAAGATGTCGTACATAGTTTGGGACGGTAGATTCCCTGAAACTCAGAAAGTTTTCCCGATTACTGCACTTCAAGATACTGAATTACATCGTCAACGACGTGGGCCATGGAATAAAGCTTTCGGCTCGGCTGCCTTAAAGGAATACGAGTTGTTGGTTGCGCAGAGAACGGCGCTCTTGGGAGACAGGCTTGCGGAAGTGAGTGGAAAAGGGAAGCCCGTGGAATTTGGGAAATGGATGGGGTGGTATACGTGAGTTTGACATTCTGATCAAGGAATCACGGATACTGATATTGGCACTATAGATACGACTTGATGTCAGATTTCGTGTGCGTATATCTAGTCCCCAGTGATGCATAAAGTGCCTAACACCACCCATAGTTTCAGCGGTGGCTCGGAGATGCTTCGCCAGGGTGATACAGAAGGCTTAATATATGACATTCGTAGTGGCCTCCCGTGAGTTTTACACGTCCCTATGATGTTCCTGGACTGATGTCATGACAGCAAAGCGATCTTCATGTCTCATGTTCCTTGGCTCGGTCGGCTATTATATCGAATTCCCGGGGGATTGTACTCTGCCCAGCTGAAGTTTAGACAAAACTCGTACTCGAAGGCGATGCAGCGGAAGGAGAAGACTGGCGAGAAGAAAGATTTGTACTACTATCTCGTAAGTCGAGCTCCTCGGCATCTTGTCGTTTAACTGTTTCGCTTCTTAGTTGGATGAAGGAAACGATGTGAAGGCTCACACAGGTCCAGAAGTGATAGCTGATGGTTGGTCTTCATCCCACGTTCTTACGCAAGCTCATGAAGCGTCTCCGTGATCTAGCTTCTGCCGCTGTAATTGCTGGCTCTGATACCACGGCCAACACTATGACGCTCGCGTTATATTACCTCCTTACACAACCCAAAGTGTAACGGGTCATTCTAGAAAGTACCCCCGGCGTCATATAATGCCGGACCCTTATATAACGGGGGACGGTATTCCGCCATTTCTTTAGTCTTTCTTCTCGCACATTAGCCTTACCCAGACGCTTGTACGTCCTTACACCTCGTTTTCTATGCTATAGAACGGGTTTGTTGTATATTGGTTCGAGGCACCGCGAGATCGACTCACGCGCTTAATATGGCGCGTTACATATTTTTTACAACACCTGCTCTTCTACCTCACGGCCTGAAGAGCTGTAGCCGGAAGACGAGTTGTCGGGACGCTGCTGGAGGTGTTTGAAGGGTTTTTAAGGCTGACTATGGGTCATATTCAATCATTACGACGTCACTCTTTTTCCCTTCGACTTCTCTCGCAGCCATCATTTCCCAATCACTCGACATCGCTCGCAAGCTCGAACGAGCTCTCGTTGGACGCTACCACGACCACTGTGGTACCATTAGCTTGGATCACCACCACCTACTCTCCTGACAACACCGCCCCATGTTGTTACACCATCTCATGCCTCACCGACACCATTTGACGTTCCAAATCCGACCTAACTCCTACGTGCCTCTACGTATTGGCTAGGAGTCACCCTACGCGTGTTCCCAGGACGCTTTTACCCTGGAGCAGATAATCTCTGTGTTGGACACCTTGGAGAAAACGGCCCACCAGCGCAGGAAGCCTTGGAGTGCGCCAATGATCTGCAGGGCTGAGGAGGAATTCAGTTTCACACCAGAGTCTTCGTCTCTGCCTTTCTACTTCCTTCTGACGGTTTTGTTGTTGGTGTTGAAGTTGGGTTGAAGTTTTTTAGTTCTTTTCGAAGACCTATGCAAGGTCTTGGTGGGGGAGAGTGTAACGGGTCATTCTAGAAAGTACCCCCGGCGTCATATAATGCCGGACCCTTATATAACGGGGGACGGTATTCCGCCATTTCTTTAGTCTTTCTTCTCGCACATTAGCCTTACCCAGACGCTTGTACGTCCTTACACCTCGTTTTCTATGCTATAGAACGGGTTTGTTGTATATTGGTTCGAGGCACCGCGAGATCGACTCACGCGCTTAATATGGCGCGTTACACAAAGCATACGAGAGGCTCAAAGTGGAGATCGAAGAGGCTGGTGATGAATGGAATGATGTTGGTGTACAGGCGAAGATGGCATACTTGAACGGCGTCATGTGAGTAGTGCTTTCAGTATCGAGTTTGGCTACAGCTTGCTTATACAGAGTACATACCCAGAAACGAAACTCTCCGTATGTGGCCTGCTGTGCTCAGCGGAAGTCAACGTAGAGTACAAGCGAACACTCAAGGCAAGATGGTCAGCAAATAGTGAGTCTTTTTTGTGACATACTGTGTTCATATGAACTAAAATGACTTCCTCGCCACTCAGCTATGTTCCGCCAGGCACCAACGTTGTCATTCCTTTCTATGCTCTGCAACGTGATCCGCGCAACTTCAGCCCTCTGCCAAATGAATGGATACCAGAACGCTGGCTCGACGAAGCACACCGCAATAAAATCGAGCCTCAGTTATCCTCATCACCGGAGTATAAACATGACATGAAAGCATTTGTCGCGTTTTCTTCAGGGCCAGCAAACTGTGTTGGGAAGAGCTTGGCAATGATGGAAATGCGGGGTGTTTTGTGCATGCTGATCAAGAGGTTTGAGATGAGACTGTCGAACTGTGAGGAGATTAAGAGGAAGTTTGAGAAAGGGATGAAGGATCTATGGATCATGCAGACGGACGATCTGTGGGCGGAGTTTTGGGAGAGGAAGAATTGACGGAGCTTTGGGATGTAACACGGATGGGTGTAGATGATCATATCACATTGCCAGCGCCCGCCTAGCTCAATCGGATAGAGCGTCAGACTTTTACGGCGGTGCTTTGCTTACCTCGAAATATCTGAAGGCTGCGAGTTCGACCCTCGCGGTGGGCTACATTGAATGACTTCATTTTTCTACAGTACCTTCACGTCGTAAAGTTCACGAACGAACGATGATAACTGCGCATGCGCATTTCGAAGTCGTGGTCCGTTTGCCGATTTCCAGCGGCACTTACATTTCGGCTATGTCCGAGAAGGGCCCAGAGCCTGGGAGATTCATCACTGCGGCTGTTCTCTTGTCTGATTCAAGAGGTGTCAGATTTCCCAGATTCGTATACGCGAAGTTTCGCGTGGCAAGGTGATTGGCGGGACGGCAGGCCATGCCGACGATGACATAAACAGCATATTTCTTTCCCTTTTACCGTCATCGCAGACTACAATGCACCCTGTTTTCCTCAGCTTCCTCCCATTCTCATCTTCCGCACATCTGTAAATACAAGATTCGCGTACAAGAAAGAAAATCAAGAGGCTGATGAAGTAGATTCCTTAGTCTACCTTTGTTCATTCTTTTGGAACTGGAGCTCCGGAGTGACTAATGACTAGTGACTGCCGCAATTGAGCTACGAAGTTGAGGTTCGATGTGGTATCATGGGACAGTGAACTAGACCATAATGACGGTAGGTTCGCTCTGATATGCTCTGGTCATATTTCTTCGCATTCGCAGACTCTGGCTCTCAAGGCGCGATTGATATATGCAACCTTCAATTTGCCCGTTTTCGGACGTGATACTTGGCTGTCAAACTCGAATGGTTAAATGGATGAACATGGCTCTGATGCTCATGCGACTAAACAGCATACACTGGATGAGCATCTACTCACTGGCCTGACATCCCGAAAGAATGCGAAGCCCGGACATGCGATAATCATTATTGAGGGAATAGGAACGGTAACTGGGTCATTGGCATAAGGAGAGGCGGAAAGAGTGATTATTTGAGGTGCTGCTGAATGTCCGCTCGAATATGTAGTTCCCAAGGGAAGACGTCATGTATAGATAAATAATACAGAAATCATGTATCCGTTGTGAGCTCAGGACAGGGCATTTCCGGGACAGAATTGGCCTCACATTCAAGTTCAACGAAGACAGACGTGTTGTATGTAGAAACACTGACAGAAAACAAGATGCGCGCTGTCCGGCATGAGCTGCCGCCTCGCCTATCACCTTGCCACGCAAAACTTCGCGTATACGAATCTGGGAAATCTGACACCTCTTGGTCTGATTCCCAACATTCCCAACATTGTTCCTCGCTTTATGGGCGCGCCAGGGACGCGCTTGGCTTGCAATTCCTGCCTACAACTTTCATCTTTCTGTCTCTTAGGGTGATTACCTACCAGGTGCGTTTTGGATAAGATGTCCTAAAGTGTTGATACTGAACGACTCTTCAGTTTAGACACTCATGTCGTCGTCAGAGGCAGAGGAACCCCTCGCGGTTCATATTCAAGATGAGCAACTTTTTCAGCATGCCGAACGTGTCAAAGACAAGGTTGTCCTGATCACTGGTTCGTTTTCCCGTCGATGGAGCGATTTTTGAGCTGAAGTCTGGTTTGTAGGAGCAGGGAATGGTATTGGAAAGGAAGCGGCTTCGAAATTTGCTTCGTATGGGTGCGTTGTTAGCTCTTGCTTGTCGAAACGTGTTTAGTAACTCTTTCCAGGGCCAAGGTTGTCATAGGTGATCGCGACGTGGCAGGATCAGAGAGAACTGTCGAAGAAATCAAAGGTGCCGGAGGGTCAGCTATGCTCTTACCTCTCCCTATGTCTATCGCTCAGACTATTTCCTCAGTCAAGCGACCTTCATCAAGTGCGATGTCACAATATTCGAAGACAATGTCGCGCTCTACGAACATGCAATGAAAACGTTTGGCTCCGTCGATGTCGTCGTGTGTTCAGCTTTCCCTTCCGTCGTACGAGCTAGGTCATAATCCTTTCGCAGATCCCCAATGCAGGCGTCGCCGAGATGGAAAACTACTTAGCAGTGTCACGCGATGAAAACGGGAAGATTCGACCACCAAAATACAAAACGATACACGTCAACCTTCTTGGGGTACTGAACAGTGAGCTCCGTGCCCTCATGAACATATCTTCCATTCTCTAACGAAGACACCATTTAGCACTTCACCTCGCTCAGCATTACCTGCTCCAAAATCATACACCAGGCTCACTTAAAGCTGTCGTGCTCATTGGGTCTATCGGTACCTTCGTCACTCAAACGCCGTCGACCTGTCACTGACCCTTTCGTTTAGCCTCCTGGCAAGCTATCCCTATCGGTCCAGAGTACAGCGCCAGTAAACATGCTGTTCTGGGTGTCATGCGCGCACTCCACCCCATCTACCTCCAAGCAGGCATTCGAACTGCGTGTATACACCCATTCTTTGCAGGTTCGTCCCGCGTAACTCTACTCTTGCCTCATCTGATCATTCTTCCCCAGATACCGACATCCTCAGACCCTTAGCTAAGCTTTTCCTCGCAGGTATCCCGCTTACACCTGTCCCTCGTGTCGCAGGTGCCATATTCTACGCAGCTACCGACCCTTCGATGGAGACAAGCGGAAGTGCCTTCCTTTTACCGGATAACGGTCCTGTCTTTATGATACCGAAGGAAGAGTTCAAGCTAGGCGTGTATGCTATGATCGATAGACGTTCGAATGCCCTTTTGAAGTACGTGCTCTTGCTACCCTGAAGTTCTGTTAATGGTCGGCTGACAACGATAACTACGTAGGGGTGTTAGTGGGTTGGCTTTCTATGTCCGAGCGGCGAAAACCTGGATGAAGATATTGGGAAAGCCGATGCTGATGCTGGGCTTGGGGGTGACTGCTATGGCTATATTATCCTATAGAGTTTTCCATTAGGTGGTGCTGTACTTGTTCACACGTGGAATGCAGCAACATTACGCTTTTGTCAAGGTCAGATGGGCTGGAAAGTGACAGAAAAACGATCTGAAGATGTACTTATCAGTTATACGATATAGGTGTGACAGTGCATACGCTAAAGTAAACCAGACAATAGAGAGCATTATACACAATGTAACAAAACATGAAAGCGCTTGAGCCACAACAGAGCAACAAAGCGATAGCACGACAATTATAGACCATCAAGAAAATATAACGAACGACTTCCTCGAACAACTGGGTATAAAATATCGCCTGCAACAGCAATCACGAGTACACTCCACGCCACGACCACTAAGCTTATCGACGAACGGTATGTCCTTCATCAGTATCCTCGTCTTCATTGTTCTCCTCACCTTGGTTTGATTCTCGTTTGACTGACCTCTTGTTTTCGCTCTCAGCACGGCGAGCCTGGCGCATTTGTTGTTGCACGGGCACATGTGCAGGATGTCCTTCCGCACCATAACGGTGCACATGTGACATGGAGGTGCTGGTGTCAAATTGGGGAATGCTGGTGTGCTGTGGAGCACGTGTAGCTTGCGAAGGAGCATATGACGCTGAAGTGTAATCCTGCCGGGCGTATCCAGCACCTGGTCTGGGACCATGGTCATGCTCTCGAGAGGCAGGTCCTGCATATTCGTAATGACCGGGAACTCCCGTAGAGCAATTGGGTGAAGGATCATAATCATAAGTAGTCGCGTCAGGTGGGTTGCCGCGATGCGTATGTGGTGCATATCGAGGGTCTGGATAACCTCGGAGACGTACATGGCCTGGTCCGTAGTCTGACCGGCGCCCAGTTTGAGTATATGAACCCTCATAGCCAGTATCTGGAGGTGACCAAAAAGATCCATAACCACCAGATGTCCGATAACTGGCCGGGTCAGTCGCAGGACAATGGGGCGGGCCGGGCCGGGCATCTAGTAAAGCATTCTAAACGAGCCGCTGCTATCAGAAAAATAGAAGTCTACCTTGTCTCATAGGCGGTGCATGTTTTCTGCTACCGTGCTGTCACAAGCCGAAAGTGAGAGAAGAGAATTGGCTATTATCACTGTGATTTGTGTGACAACGGATGTTGTACTATCCGACTGTGCAGGTGCCACGTATATCCTTGAAGTAATGATACTGCTTTCCATCAAATCCACAATATCAACAGGACTACAGGGGCCCATCGAGCTAGACACGGACAGCATTGAAGGCGTGGACCTGTTCGGCGACACGAATGAAAGGGCCTCCGATGAACACAGAGATGTCGAAAGTCTTTTCTTGTCCGTGGATGGACACTCCCCTTGATAGGCTGGCGGACTGGCAGCGCACACGATAGCGAGTACAGCGGCAAGATCCATGAAACTGAGAGGGCTGAGTACTCCTGACCAATTTTTCCTGTTCAATGTCTCGTGGTATAAGTTATCTCCTCGTACTGGCGCTATATGTCTCCAGTCCTGCACGCCATCAAGATCGAGAACCACGAGTGGCACGTATATCACTGGAGGCTAAACTCTATGAGAATTGGAACCCTTGTTCTGGTGCCAGACTCCTTCCTTCAGGATAGAGCCTGTGACAACCCAACGCCAGTGACAGGACCTGCTTGTGCCACCTCATCTGGTCGACTATTACGCAAATGCCAGCGGTTCGAAGATGGTGGCGGCGCTGAGGTGAGTCTAAACCCGACATCATATGACCCAACAAAAGAGGCGATAGTTTGTCTAAGAAGAGTCGGAAGTCGGAAAATCCCACTATCCGACTGGATAGAGTAGCGCAGTCGGAGTCTGTACGGAAACTGGTGAATGGAGGCTGCAAAGTATTTGCGCTCGAAAAACGCCCGGAGTGATAGATGTCACTCATATGTACTAGTCGACGTGCAGATTGAGTTGGAACAGTGAGTCTTAGAACAGGTCGTGAGATATCAGCCAAACAGTAGGACCACAATAGTTACCCCTAGACGTGTTCGTGATATCCAAATCATGCCTTTGTGCACCGGGGTTCACTTTCTACTAGTATCCCGAGATCGCGGAGCCAGTGAAATCTAATCACGCGTATGGTTGAAACCGGTTATGTGACATGTCTTCCTTACAACGGAAAGGTGTTTTTTTTGTCGCGCTAGAGTAAAATGAGCATATGACCAAAACTCAAAAGACTTAAACGTACACCAGTGCGTAGGTGTACCCTTCTATG